CCCCAAAACCCCAAAACCCCAAAACCCCTTGTAGATAAAACAGAGTTGAATATTTATTCATAAATTTTCAAAAAGTTTAGTTTCATAGCGTAGTTGTTAGATAATGTAAAGACGCACACAAGCTAGAATGCGAAGATAGCTATGAGCCAGGGTAAAGAAAATATAGAAGAGATAGCATCTGCTACAAAGGAAGAACCTCTCAAGAAAGAAGAAATAACTTTATACAAGGAAGAACCTCTCAAGAAGGAAGATATAATTTTAGATAAGGAAGAACCCCTCAAGAAAGAAGAAATAACTCTAGACAAGGAAGCGCTATTTATGAAGGAAGAACCCCTTAAGAAAGAGGACCCTCTGAATATGGAAGAATTCCATACCACTATCGATCTTCTTGGAGATACTCAGAGTGATACAGAGTTAAAAAAGGAGGAAGAACTTACTATTATTGATTGTGACCAGTTCTTACAACAATCCTTGAACAAGAGGGACCTTAAAAGAGTTAAGAAGAGAACTGAGGCGAGGCTCACCCTTGCTGAAGCGAAGGATTATAATAATTTACTAGAGACTAGGACTACTCAACTCCAGAAGTCTCTAAATAATCAAGTGAATCTCTCCAATGATACTCGATATACTGTTGACTTGATGAAATTTCCCATTGAGTTTAAGACAGAGGAGGAAGCCTTGAAGAAATATAACGAAATAGGACTTCTTCAAAAGATCCAGTTCAAAGTCATCAATAGGAGCAAAGAGAATGATAAAATCATGCGATTCACTCTATGATGCTACAAGAGAAAAACAGTGACTAAGAAAATAGACCTTGGGCTTCAGTTAAAAGAAGTTGAATGTGGAAATTGTCCTGTAGCTGTCAGGTTCAGATGGATTCCGAGGAAGAAGATGTATATCAGAAGGTTATCCGGCCTGAAAATGATCCACAACCATCCTCTCGATGTCAAAGAGAGGCATTACACACATAATGAGCTGATTCAGAGAGAAGTAAAAATGCTGTTGAATTCACATATCCCAGTTGCAAACATCCGAAATATTCTGAATACTAAGTTTAACGCAACTCTTAGATATTCAGATATTTATGGGATCGTTAAAGGATTTCAGAACGGTAGCAAGAACATTGGTGATAAGCTTAAGACTGATTTCCAGAGGTTACTTGAGCTCCTGGAAGAACTTCGAGGCAAAGATCCTCTCACACAGTACGAATTCGAGTTTGAAGATGATGAAGATGAAGACGGCGATGAGAATGGATCTAAAATACCATGAGAAATTAATCGTATTCTAATCATGACAGGATCAATGAGGAAGCTTTATGAGCAATATCATGATGTGATTTTTATGGATGCTACTTATAAAACTAACAAGCATGATATGCCCTTAACTGTGATAACTGGAATTGACAATGAAGGAAGAAATACAGTACTGGCTTACGCTCTACTTAAGAAAGAAGACAAGGAAGCCTACATTTGGCTAATGCAAACATTCTTAAAATTTGTTGAATATAATGAACCAGGAATCATCCTCACAGATTTTGATCCTTCAATGTGTCATGGAATTGAGCGAACATTTGAGAAGACCACTCACCTCCTCTGTCAATGGCATGTGATGAATAACTTCAAGAGACATTTCCTATATTTACAGAAAAAGAAAGGATTTGGTCCTAAGAATTTATACCAAAAAATTATTAACTTGATTTATACACCATCTGCTAAGGAATTCCAAGAAATCCAAGAAGTGTTATTCTCGCCTACAAACGATGACATTGGTGATGAAAAACTACAGTACTTACGTCAGATGTTTGCTATCAAGGAGAAATGGGCAGAAGCATTTTGACCAATAGAGTTTAACGCAGCAACCCATACAATCTCTCGTGGAGAAAGTGTGAACTCCCAGATCAAGAATAGGGTGTTTGCAAAATCTTCGATGTGAGATATCTTCAGGCTTTTCCAAGAACTTGAGGACCGGAGTATCAATAAGATAATTACGTACTACAGGACTCATCAAAGAGAGATTTATCACCATCCTTTGCTGAAAGGTATGTACGAGTATTACTCAAGTTATGCCTTCAAGTTTATGCTTTATGAATACATGATGTCTCATGAGTGCGAGACTAAGAAATTGGTAGCTGATGACACAGAAGGAATGGTAGCAACCAAGATTGTTAATGCCCAACAAACCCAGAACGGGCAATACATGATCAGAGAGATTAGAGATCGCGAAAAATACATGGTCACATTGACAGGTAAGATATTATTTTGTGACACATAGAGACTGTTGAGCCAAATGGAGAGCGGTTCTTAAAGCCAGAATGAATCTGAAAGTTTCATAGAACTCAAGGAATGCATTGAAGACATATCTTTGCACTACTCAATACTCTACAGATCAAATGAGCTCAGAAGATTAGACCAATCAAGAGATGGAGTAAAGAAATGGGATTGGAGGTGTATAATGTTAAAGATAATATCAATGAGCACAAGAAAGCTATTGAATGAAATGTCGAGCTTCCTTCTGAGAATCCTTTCAACGGCATGAATGGAGTTGATTCAGAATATTGATGGAAATCCTCAAATCCACTAAAAAGGGATGAAAAATTTATTGAAACAATAGATATGACTAATGACGAAGTTTCAATAATCCAACATAAAAGAGGGGTTTTGGGGTTTTGGGGTTTTGGGG